GTCAGAAAAAGAAGTCATAAATTCGGATTGAGAATAATTATAAAGAAAATAAGTCCTACTTTAAATTACGAAAGTCATTTATAGATATGAAATAATAATTGCAAAAAAATATTTTCTGAGCAGCATTTTTAATTACATTTCTTTTTTAAAATATTACTTTAAAATTAAATTAAATTAAACAAAAACTAAACTTATGACGTTTTAATTTTGTCAAAATACAATAAAATATATTATAATAAAATATATTAAAATGCCACCTATTTTTTTTTTTTTTTATTAAAAATAACCTGCTTTAAATTAATTAAAAATATTTCTTATTTTCTATGACTTTCTTCTTACTCAAAAAGAAAGTGATGAGATTTTTTTTTTTTTCTGAATTCTTTTCACCCGGTCATCCAACTCCCGCCCTCGAAATTGGCCACTGGCTATGGTTTTTTGTTGTTTATTTTTAAATTTTTTTTAGTTTTATTTTGAGTCAAGAGACCGAAAATTTTCTGCGACTTTCATTAACTGAAATCTTTGAAAAGAATTTTTAAAATTATTCACAAAACAATTATTACATGTCGCTTTTTTTTCTTTGACAGAACGACTTGAAAGGTTACTTATTTTTCTCACGTTTTTTAGTCAGTGAATATTCAATATTACCCCACCACCAAAGAAAAATTAAAATACGGGTTTTCTTCCTACCTAAAGTGATTGTTTTTTGTTTGTTTGTTTTTTTAAGCGACAAATCATTTTTCTTGTATTGTAAAAATCACTTGACTTTAAATCCCGCCCGTGAATATTAAATAAATTTACCAGTTAATTAAACTTATTAAATAGAAATTTTCATTATTATTATTATTATTATTATTATTATTATTATTAAAAACTAAACTAAAAATGTAAAATTAACAATTTCTGCATCATTGTTTTTTGTAAAACAAAACAAATTAAAAAAAAAACAAAAACTGTCCAAGTGAGTAAAACAAAGGTTCATCATGGTTTACCAAACTTACTCTTAAGTTAAGAATCTTAACTTTGTTGAGTCAGTAAAAAGCGTATTTTTTTTTTTTTTATCACAAACAATTATAAATTGTCACGTCGGCGTGTATCCCATTGTCAGAATTTTTTTGCTTGTCCCCCTCCTCTTTTTGTTACCCCGCACGACCGTTACGCCCTGACCTCATCAATAATTGACTGTTTTCGATCGGATGGAAAGAGGGGGAAAACACTACTTGGTTTCAGTTAAAATGAATGAAAGAAAGAAACAAGGGAAGATAGAAGTGTTTAACGGCTGTTTCGGTGAAATAGAAAAAGTTTTCAAATTTCAAATCTTTTTATTTGTACCCCCTTACTTCCTAAAATAATGACCAGCATTCGTATTTATGATTTTTATTGCAATATTTTGTTAAAGTTGTTAAGCTCAAATATTTAACAATGCAATAGGGGAATTTCTACAGATATTTTATTGTCATAGAACTCACCATGATCTTACTCATCAATCATTAACTTAAGAATTAAGATTCATTAGAATATTAAAATAGGAAAACCATGATATTTTCACACATTTAAAACTAGTTCTAAAATATTTTGAAAAATATTATTTCCACTTTATTAAATTTATTTGCAAATTAAGAACTAGTTTAACACTTACTTTATTAAAATATTGCTTATTTTATTACAATCCAATTGAACACAATTTATTAAGATAAAGTAAATAATTACTTACCTATATTTAAATGGAAGTATTTTTCATAACATTTTTCATTTTTCCCACCTGCAAACCACTTCTCCCTCACTACGTCCCACTGAATAAATACAATTTAGTTTGTTCACAGGGCTGTGTGAAGGAATAACACTTAAAATAATTCTCTGGGTTTGTGGGGGACAAGAATAAAGTAAATGTGCCTTAGGATGGGGTAAGAGTTTAGCCAGCTAGTTTGGTTGACTACTGGTTAGTGATCTTGATCCACACTAAGTGCTTCATACCTTGTACCAATCTAAACTTAGTAAATATCAAGAATAAGCAAAGTAAGAATTTTTTATATAATTTGCAGCAAAGTTATTAGAGTTGTAAGTAAATTTTTTTTTTGTTACCGATTCTAATGATGAATGTATCATCCCACACAGTAATTAAGAATAAATTTGGAACATATAGTTTTTGCACAGCAATGGCAGCATACACAGCCGATTAAAAGAAAGATTTTATTTTTCTCCGTGCAAAGCTGCATACAGCAAGACTAACACAGGAAAAAATTTTATAACTCAGTCAGGGAGCCTCCTGCCATATTCACCTGGCCTTGCACCAACTGATGATTAACTTTTCCGGTTTCTGCAAAACACTTTGACAGCAAAGACATGAAAACTAGATTCAAGAATTCTTTGAAAACCTGTTCACATAAAAAAACTGTGGAATTTTACTTGGAAAATTATGAAAGCACTACCTGAAATGGCAACAAGTCACTGCAAATAATGGAGGCTATGTAATTGAATAAAATTTAACTGTATTAAATTTTTTTGAAGAATAAATTTCATAAACAGAAATGGAAATTATTTATAACTCGGCCATATTTGTTAATTATGCCTGTTTTCTAATGGAATTAACAAAATGAACAGGAATTCCAATTACAAGCCAATACTCAGCTTCAGAAATGTACCATATTCCTCCAAGATAGAGATGATCTTCAGAGATTCCATTTCTTTATTAATTGTAATTTGCCATTCTTCTTCAAAAAAAAAATGGTGGAGTGCTTTCCAGTGGACTTCACCATGATTTTGAATTCAGTGTTTTTTTTTTTGTTTTTTTTTTTTTTTGTTATGCTTTCCTTTTAACCTGGCGGAGCCCATCCCTCTCCAGGTTAGACCACAGCCAGTGTCCTCCAACTCAATGGCTCGCTTTGGTCGCAAACAGACTGGCCTGCGTCAAGAAGGTCCTTCCCCCAGTAGTGCTGTGTTAACACCAACCCCTCACGTGAGTTTAGCCTGACAGCTGAAATGGTTTACCAGTGCATGACAACTTGGAACAATCATGTAAGAAATTTAGGAGATGGTCGAGGACAAGTGAAGCCCGTCCACCCGAAGATGCAGTGTGCCAGACATCAAAAGTTAGTACTGTACAGAGCCCCCCTATGAAGATATTAATGGACAATTGTTTGTTTAACAGGAACAACTTGTGATATAGAAATAGAATTGAGGATTAGTAATGTGGTAGTTTGAAATTTAAAAAAAAAACATTTCTAATTCTAATAATTAGATCATTGTATGTTTCAATCCTTGTAGGAATGACTGCAAAACACTTTCAATTCTCCATTTTATACGTAGAAGCACACAAATACATGCTAGGATTTTTTCCTAGTCAATAAAATAGACTGGTTCTTGGTTACATTGACTCAGTCCCAGTCTGTCTTGTCTTGAAATCAGAACACCACATTTGCTTGTCCAAACTTGCTCTTGTGTGTCAACCCTAATTCTTAGTTTGTGAACTTTTTGCTTTATTACTGTTGCTTTGCTTTATAACAGTTAATTTGCCTTGCGTATATTGTTGGCTTTATATTTTTTGCCCTGTTCTTTTCTTTTTTTTTTGTTATTGCTTATTACAAACTTTGTCAATTCTGTTTGTTGGACTGTTACTTATTTTTGCATTTGACCATAGCTATTCACTCCACAATCATGATAAAAAATTACAATAAATATAAAAAAAAAAACAATTGTTCTACATTCTGGTTTGTGAATTTGATTCCCACTGAATAAATTCTGGAAAATTTGTATAAAAAAAAATCCCCCAAAATAAAGAAAGAGCTGTTTAATACAGTCTGACATCTCTGTGGTCTGTTACCTCCCATGGTCTGACATTTTTGTATCAGCCGCCATCCTTTTTTTCTTAATCTGTAACCTTAGATTATTCCCCTTCATTCTACATGCACAATGTTACTATAGTCCAATTTCTCTTGCAGTTTTTGTTACAACTGAAACACTGTCACCAGTTTCTCTTAGTATCACTGAAGATCTTCCATAGATTCTCAGTTGGAATGAAATTTATCTGGATTTTAGAGTGGACCACGCCATGACCTTGACCTATTCAACTTTGAAGAATTATTTTGCTATTTTTGGATGATGACAAAATATTGCTTATCCTTTTCCGACAGAGTCTGAGTCCTTGCTATCTGTCCCAGGGATTGAACTCAGAATTACTATTTCACCAATGTCAGAAACCAACACTAATCCTCTTGACTGTTATCTCATGAAACGACTGAGTCGTACAAAAAATGAACTAAATGACATATATCCCTACACATGGACAGCTGAATGACATATATCCCAACACATGGACAGCAGAATGAAAACAGTCTATCCCCCTAGGGATGGGCAACTTTTTTTGAGCATCACAAGACGGGCTGCACTACTGAAAAGATACAAAATAATTTTTCGTAGTTAGTACCTAATTTACTTTCACTACAGAAGACTATATACAAAAACATATAGCTTAGAAACAGTAGGAAAGTGGGTACAAAGGAGAGTTCGTTTTACTTGGGTGCTTAAAAACTGCAAAGTAGGGTTTTTGTCAAAATATTTTTTCGAACAAATCAGCTTCTTCAAATTTCATTGATTGGTTTGCGAAATTGAATGAAACATAGAGTTTGTAAATCTCGACAAAAAATGTTAGCGATAACTTCAGCAATACTAAATACTGTGAAGATTTGAACACATCTTGGTGTGTTGTGAAAAATTTCTAGTCTTATTAAATGTATATCTTTAGCTATTAAGCATTAAGTTTTGTATAATGACACAAGCTGTATGCATTACTCGCAGTCCAATATAGTCACTCATCCAAGTGATGATCAGGTTAAACATTGCTTAACTTATAACCTCTTTCTGGTAAAGTTGCTGATATGAATGTTTTCTCTGGCTCTGTCATTATCTTTATTCTTTTTTGCTTCAAGATGTTCGTGATTGAAGTTGATTTTGGGATCAAAGCCTGGATTTGATACATTTGAAGATTCCAGTGGAAGTCACAGAATATGGATGACCATTCAACAATGTCCAGACCATTTGCCTGCCAAGTGTGTGGCAAATGTTTCACCCGCAAAACCAACCTTCAATCACACATGCTCACGCACACAGGTGAGCGGCCATTCGACTGTAAAGTCTGTGGTAGGAAATTCTCTCGTAACACAAACCTACAGTCCCATTTACGGATACACACAGGAGAGAAACCTTTCTTTTGTTCCATCTGTAAAAAGGGATTTGCACGAAACACAAATTTCCAAATGCACCTTCGCATCCACACAGGTGAGAAACTATTTTATAAAAAATTACAAAATCCTTGCCAACATATTTTTCATAGTCACAATCCTTGCCAACATATTTTCCATAGTCAAAATCCTTGCCAATGAATTTTCCATAGTCACAATCCTTGCCAATGTTTTCTGTAGTCAAAATCATTGCCAATACTTCTCCAATTTCATAATATTTTCCAATAATTTTTCCCTAGTCAAATTGATTTGCCCTCTTTTCTCCACAGGTGAACGTCCTTTCCAATGTCCTATCTGTCAAAAGAACTTCATTGCCAACATACGCTTGCAGAGACATATGAGAATTCATGATGATGCAGAACAAAAATCATCAGCCAATGAAGAAGACGTGTTTGTGCCCAATGAATATGAGGTAGAATCTAAAAAAGAGCCACAAATTCTTGAAATTGATTCTGACTTTATTTCCCAAATTAGCAATCTCCCGGTAGAGAAACGTCACTCCTGTAATATCTGCCATAAGTATTTCTCTCGTAATTCCAATCTGCAGACACACATGCGAACTCACACAGGAGAGAAGCCTTTTCGCTGTCAGATCTGTGGGCGAGAGTTTGCTCGCAACACCAACCTTCAGACACACATTCGGACGCACACTGGGGAAAAACCTTTCCAATGTCCTGTCTGTAAGAAAAACTTCACCCGCAGTACAAACCTACAGACACATGTGAAGATCCATTCTGGGCAGCGGGCTTTTCAGTGTAACATTTGCAAGAAGGACTTTGTCCGCAATGCTGATCTTCAAGGGCACTTAGAGATGCACACTGGCAAGAAACCATACAAGTGCAAAATTTGCTCAAAATTCTTTTCACGCAAGTCCAACCTATTAATGCATGCACGAATACACACAGGTGAACGACCATTCCCCTGCAAAATTTGTGGCAAAGCCTTCACCAGTAAAACAAACCAGCAGACCCATATGCGAACACACACTGGTGAACGACCATTTCCATGTCAGATTTGTGGCAAGGCCTTCTCTACAAACACAAATCTCCAGATGCACACACGAACACACACTGGGGAACGACCGTTCAAGTGCAAAATATGTGGGAAGAATTTCATTACTGGCAGCCACCTGCAGATGCACACACGGACACACACAGGTGAGCGCCCATTCCGTTGTCCTAAGTGTTTTCGAAACTTCTTCCGCAATACAGACCTTCAAGCTCACATGGGCACCCACACAGGTTATAAACCCTTCTGTTGTGGGGTTTGCCACAAAGTGTTCTCCAGGAACACTAACCTGCGTGTACACATGCATATTCACACTGGAGAGAAGCCTTTCCGGTGTGAGACATGTGGTGAAAAGTTTGCTACTTTTGGTCGTCTTCAAACGCATGTCAAGAAGCATCCCGGTGTCTATCCATTGCAGAACCAAATCTGACTTTGAATTTTCAAAATTGCTATGTATTGTGCAACTGTGAGATTTCAAAGAAGTCACATCTGTCAACAATAAATAAAACAGATTTTGATTGTCTGTAGAATACTTAAATAAAATTTTCAGAAATTTTTATTTTGGAAATGAAGATTGGTGTGAATATTTGCATACATGTATGTATATATATATATATATTTATATATATGAAGTCTGATCAAAAAGTATCAGGACTGTTGCTATGGTAACGGGCTGAAGTATGCAGAGTGAAGCTTCCTGGCACAGACTCTGACCTTAAATACTAATAATGTTCTCACTCATTTCTGTTTTTTATAGCAGTGCTTGGAAGGAAAGTGTGGTCGTCTCACCATACTACAGAGGTTCCATCAGTGACCATGCCTTGTACATCAGCTTTTGGCCAACAACCAGCATATTCCTCAGAACTTGTGACTTTTTTCTCTTACCAAAATCAAATCCCACTTGAAAGGAACAAGATTTCAAGACATTGAGGAAATCCAAGAGAATGTGGCTTGCTATCCCAAAAAAGGAGTTCCAGGAATGTTTCCATTGATGGAAAACGACATTGGATAAAATGTTTGGATTCAGAAGGCATTTACTTTGAAGGAGATTAAATGCTAAATATATGTGTTGTTTTCTTTTTATAACATCAGTCCCAATACTTTTTGATCAGACCTTATGTATCTTGGTTACAAAGATCATTGTGATTAAGCAAGGTTCCATTTTGCTTTTAAGTGCATCTTATTCATATCCAAAACATAAACAAAGCAATATGTACAGAAATAATGGATTTTTTTTTAATTAAAATGGCACATTTTCTTTATTAGGGAATTCTTGAATGTTCAGCCTGCTAGACAAAATAAAATACTGTTTAGAATAAATGGTGGGTCTATTCACAAAGAATAACAATTAAAATAATACATATATGAGATTATATGGTACTTCTGTTATGTTTTTTTATTGTTTTTCTTGTGTGCAAACAAGAGATTTCTTTTGTGGCCTTAATTCTCCATATGATTGTTTATTGCATATTTGGTGCCTATGAAATTATAAATGCTGTGTGTGAGTAATGTTGGATAAGAATCCACTGGAATAATAATAATATAAGACAAGTTTTAAAAAAACTTCACCTTTCATCTTTTGTCATTGATCTGGTACCAAGGTAGAAATTTTGTATAAATTCTCATATTTTCAACACACACACACACACACACACACACACACATATAAGAACAAATGGAGTATAATTCCACTGTCTGTATCATTTAATTTTAAAAAATGGCTCAATACAGAGTAGAGCTTTATTTACCATCCCCTGAAGAGGTACAACTTAGTGCTGAAACATGAAAACTATTGTGTTGTGATTTTTTAATGTTTTTGTTTTAATCTCCTATAATAAATGCATTATAATATTATAAATAAGATAATATCAAAATCTGCTACTGAGAGTTATGTAATAACAATCATAAAATGAATATTATCTGGAACCAATAGCTAAAATCAGACTTTTATAATCCAGTCAACTTTGCCATTGAGCCCTCAGTTTATTTTATATTTTAAGCATTTAGCTTATTTTAACAATAATTATTCTGAAACAGATATATATAAAATAAACTGTCACAACTCTTTCCTGCAATATATTAGTGAAACTTGCAGAAATTTAAAAAAAAAAAGTATTTATGATCACAAAAATGATCTCATACATAACAATTTATCAAATGCATTATGCTATATCCAGAAATAAGTTCAACCACAACTTTGATCTCAAGAATGCCACACTTATTAGAAGAGAAATTAACTTACTTAGATGGAAAGTTCTTGAGAGTGCAGCTATTGAATCTTCCAAAAATGTTAACTTCTTCCTTAAAAGAAATACTCCTTTTAACATGTGACCATAAAAATTTTGAGACATTAAAAGATAATGGTTAACTTAAGATCTTTTGTTATTTAAAATAAATACATACATAAATAATGTATCAAATTAAAATAAAATATTTAAATTTAAAAAATTAAAATATAAATATGCAAGAAAATTAAATTCGACAATAACATTTTCTCACTTTCATTTATTAGGCATTAAATTACATCACTTAGAGTCCTTCATAGTTTACTTTACACAGCTTTAAGAATATTTTAGATTGTTCTTAAATTTAAAGATTCTGAAAACTTCAGGCCACATTTTCTTCAATAAGTTTTCTTAAGTGTGCAGGTCAGTAGATTAAATAAATATCTGACCATCTACTTAAATATGGATGCCCACTAAAGATAATGTTCAAAGTCATAAAAATATGTCGGATTAAAGAATAAAATCCATTAATTCTTTAGAAATTGTTGAGCAAATATTTCATGCCAAGAAAATCTGAACAAGTTTGTATGCTTTAAAGGCAAATAGAACCTTATCTGATTATGAAACTCTTTGTAGCTGAGCAGTTAAAACACACTGTACCAGATGATGGTTTCTCCTTCAAAGGGGGATACAGAATACAGTTTAAAATTAAAATAAATGGAGTGCCTACAAAAATATCTGTATCAACTAAAGATATGGTTTGAAATAATAAAACAACAATGTTAATATTAGCTGTTTTCTTATAAGGAAACATTTGGCATTTATTGACTGAGCAACCTGTACTGTTATTGAATGAAATTTGTAAAATCTTTCTCTTAAAACAATTTTTCAGGGAAACTGGTTTCTCAAGTCTAGTAGCTGTTATTGCTCTTTCCAATACTGACTGGATTTTCATTCCTAACCTTTTGCTGTCTTGGGTATGACAATAAACTACATCCATGTACTGGGTAAGACAATAAACTACATCCAACAGCAAGGCTTCTGGTCAAGAGATTTTGAGGAGCATGGAACTGCTTCTTAATTGCTGGTGTTCCCAAGTCTGCCCTGACCCAAGGTGGTGTGACCTGTTGGGGTCCCAGCTATGGACAAGTAGTTGACCCCCAAACCAGGGTCGGAACACTGTCAAAGTGTAGAAATGGGTTTTGATACCAGCAATACTTTTTCGGAAAAAGTATTGCTGGTATTTTTTGGAAAAAGTATTGCCAGCAATACATTTCTTGAAAGGGAAATATTGCTGGCAGTACATTTTTGGAAAGGATATTACCAAAAATACTTTTCTGAAAAAAAAAAATATCACCAGGTAATAAAAATCTTGTTGGCATTGAGTAGCCCATTGAGGTTGATGTGCCATAAAACACCAAACCGAAGGAAAAATTATTACTAGCAATGCATTTTTGAAGGAAAATTTTTACAAACAAAATATTACCAGAAATACATTTTTGAAAAAATTACCAGCAATGCATTTGTGAAGGAATATTACCAACAATAAAAATCTTGTCAATATTAAATAACCCACTGAGCAAAACAAAAAACCCAAATCAAACTAAACCCAAAAAAAAAAAATCTTTTTGGCATTAAATAACCCACTGAGTAAAACAAAAAACCAAAGTAAACCAAAAATAAATTAAATAACCCATTGAGATTGATATGCCATAAAACAAACCAAACCAAACCTAACTTTTGTTTGAATTGTTGTGAAATGTTAACACCTTGATTATTTCATTATTTTTCCCATGTGCTATCCATTTTAGTTGTTGCCACTGTTGGTAGTCCTCAAATGATGTGATCTCTGTTTGAAACAGTTCTTTGTGATTCCACAATGTTTAAATAAAGGATGATCTTTGCCAAGACTCTCAGGCTTTTACTCCCTCAAAGACTTCTTTCACCATGGATCTCAGAAAGCAGTTGTATACAGCCAACAATATATACATATATTGTGATAACAACAAGGATGATATTCACATGATGTAATCATGATCATAGAAAAATATTGATAATAGTACCTAAATTTCTAATGAACTTAATTTTCAAAGACCAACTGTTACATCAACCACTAAAAAATACCTTGAAAATGATACATCTAATATATAAAGATAAAGGTTTGTGTGTATATCTGCTTTAAAATCTGGAAATTAATTAAATATATATAAAATTGGTTATCTGTCTATGTGTGCACAATCATGTAAAGTCGGGGTGGTAGCACCTGTTAGGGTCCCAGCTATGGGCAAATAGTTAACCCCGAAACTGAGGTAAAAAGCATTATGAAAGTGTAAAACTAGGTTTTAATACCAGAAATACTTTGTTAAAAAAATTATTACCAGAAATAAATTTTTGAAGAAGAAAAACTATTACCAGCAATACGTTTTTGAAATTATCCTACCAGCTATACATTTTTGAGGAAAAAAATATTACCAGAAATAGATTGTCAACATTAAATGACCCATTGAGGTGTTGATATGCCATAAAACAAAGCAAACGAAAACCAAATCAAAGATCATGTAAAATAGTGCCATCAAATACATACAGTTAGATCTTTTGTATATACCAGCATGTATTTTATATCTATACCAATTTTGCTGTTCTAGCTTAATGGAGATAATCAATTTACATATTCACTTTTAAAAATTTAAGAAAATGTATTTTGTTATTCATTTCCAATTTTATCTTTTGTGCCGTTGCAGGGTAGCTGGTATGATAGGTTAAATATTTAGGCACCATTATCTTGTTGGAATCAACACTTTGGAGAGTAAATATTTATGAGCTTCTGAAAAATTTATCCCATAAACAATATTGGCTGACTCACTGTGAGTCTAAGTAAAAATTAGTAACACAAAACAATATAAAACAAGTGACAACCAATTTTATGTATAAACAGAAGGAATTCCAATAAACAAAGAAAACATTTAAAAAATAGTTTCATAGAAAACATTTAAACTAGAGAATGTGTGTGTTTGTGAAATTTGCATTATGCTATGTTATGGACATGGGTGTAAAAGATTACAAAAAGTCAAGAGAGAGAAAAGTAAACCATGAAAATGAACTTTCCTCAGTGGGCAGAGACTTTCTCCCCATGTGCGACTACATCTTATAGCCAGAAAAATGTATGCTTTCCGATAGGGTTAAGGCATTCCTCCCTAGAGACGTTTGTTTTTTTTATTTTTAGCACAGTCCAGTGGAATAACTCGCATTACTTTTTATCATTAAGTTTTTGTTTTGTTGATGGCCTTTATAATTAAATTTTTTAGTTATTTTATTGAAATAAAACCATTTTGGGGCCAGCAATTAGTAACCACCTTATTTAGATCACAGCTTGAAAAATAAGCAATGTTGATGTTTTTAATTATATATTTGAAAAACTAATAAATATTATAAATACGTTATGAATATGAAATAGATACGTACTAATATTCATCTTTGAGATGAGGTATTATGATTAGTTACATTATTTGGCTGTTCTACGATCCAGTCTTCTTCAGGTGATTGGAATTTTTGAACCGAACCCTTTATTTCGTGCACTGGGGTAGATTGT